TATTATTATCATATATATATAACCGTGTATAAGATTATGTATATTTACATATAATTTTATATAATTATATATATTTATATATAAATTATATATATTTATATATATTTATATATATTTATATACATTTATATACATTTATATATATTTATATATAATTATACATGAACTTTATTTCCCGGGATGTGATATTGAGAAATAGATCTAGAGGTACTTTAAATAAATTTTTTATCATTAGGAGATCATTGACATTAAAATAAAATTGTTGACAACACATAACCAAAATTTGAACCTGTTTTATGAAAGTTTGAGTAAGTGCGATTTGGACATATGTGTATGTATATGTATATTATATACATGTGTACTTATCTTTATATTTTTATACATGTGTACTTATCTTTATATTTTTATACATGTAAATTATCGATAAAATATTAATGGCCTAATGTTTATTTAAGATTATTTAAAGTCTCTCTTGATAGTCTCTTTTGATCAGATTTATTAATAGACGGGATAATACTATACGGGAGAATGATATAATAATATCGATTCTAAATATCAAACAATATTGATATTATTTCTCTTAAAATGGACATGAAAATAAAAAATAATTTTATTAATCTGATCTATCTATCTGATAATAGCTTCAATAAACAAAATTGCTTTGCAGTATAGTAATATCTAGCATGTTCAAGAGATTATTTAATTGTATAATACTCACAACTTGAAAGTTTGGTAAAAATAAAAAAAGTTTTGCATTTTTGAAATAACACGTCATTAAATTTTGTTAAACTCGTAAAAGTTTATATTAATTATAGTAATAATTAAAAAACACCATTTCTAGGAAAAAGAAACATAAATTTTCTAGAATGTGTTCTAACATAATCATAAATAATTATTTTGTGAAAATAATTATTTTCTTATGTTCAATCGTTTTCAAGATTTTCAATTTTGATAATTATTAATTGTCATATATGCTTTAAAAACTAAAGCAAAAAGTGATGGTAGAAACACATAATAAAATTAATTCAAGCGAAGAAGATAAAAGTTTATGGAACACATAAATAATCCCCTTTCTAAAAAGGCATGTTATTGACATTGTTGTCGCTCTTCTGCGATTCATAGTATCGAGCAGTTGTTGAGAGGGTTAACAGTTTGACAGTTGTCAAAATAAAATTTATATATAAATATATTAATATATTAATTATTTTTTGTTCTGCATTTATTCGCGTATTCGTACACATTCGGAAGATCATATTAATATGGAATATGGAATGCATTTGCTGTCATTCAACCTAATGCTATTGCCAAGAGGACAGCAGAGCAGAATGTAAGGAAGCGAATTTCCATTATATACATAATTTTAATTCGCCAAATTACTATTATGTACATTATCTGAATTTTCCGAATTTCTATTATGTACATAATTTTAATTCATTGAGTTTCTATGATGTACATAATTTTATTTCACAGAATTTCTATCATGTACATATGATTTTAATTTATTTAATTTCTATTGTGTACATAATATTAATGCCCGAATTTCTATTATGTACATAATTTCAATTCACCTAATTTCTATTACGTACATAATTTTAATTTCTGTATTTTTATTATATACATATTATAGTACATATTAGAAATTCAGCAAATTAAAATTATCTACATAATAAAAATTTGGCGAATTAATATTAGGTACCTAACAGAAATTCGGTGAATTAAATTTATACACATAATAAATATTTGGGAATTAAAATTATGTATACAACATAGTAGAAATTCGGAAATTAATTAGAACATAACTTATGTTCTAATTTCCATGAAATTCGAGAAATTAAAATTATGTACATACATAATGGAAATTTGGTGAATTTATACTATGTATATATATGATAAAAATTCGGCGAATTATTACATAATAGAAATTTGACGAATTAAAATTATGTTTGTAATATGAATTTGGCAAATTAAAATTATGTTTGTAATATTAATTCGGCAAATTAAAATTATGTACATAATAAAAATTTGGCGAATTAAAATTATGTAATACATAAAGAAATTCGGAAATTATAAAATTATGTCTCTTTTAAAATGGTAAGTAAGTATTGTTGCCGTTTTTCTGCGGTGCTGATTGTTTATCTCGATTTGCTTTGTTATTAAATTGAAAGTATATATCGAGTTCTGTCATCGCGACAATTAATAATTTGACAGTTATAAAATAAAAATAAAAACAATACTAATGCAAAGTGCGCTCTTGTGTTGTCTAGTAATATAAAAATCAGAACGAGAAAAAAATTGAATTACGACTAAAATTGTTGTTGAGTTTAAATAATTCTTAAGAAATTCAAAAATTGTTGCACAATCTATGAGGTGTCCGAGATATATTAATCAAATAAATGTGTTATAAATATTTTGCTTTTTTATTTCCTTAATTGTTATCAGCATTTGGAGAAATTAGTTCAATATTATGATTAATATTAATTTTCTTAAATTACAGAATATTGAAATATCTGCAGAATTGTAAAAAATCCGTAAAATATATAAATATCCGTATAATATTAAATCTATTCGTAAACTAGCTTTTTGAAACTCGCGCTTTTTTACTACGTTGATACCCTAGTACAGTTTCTGATAAAATGTTTTGCTTCACACTGACAAATCTATCGATTTTACTTTAACATTACAGAATCATGCGAACAAAACGTAAAATTGAAGCGTGAAAAGTGAATCAATAAAAATCACGGCAAAAATGCAAAATAAAAATTACGTTGAAGAATAAAAACGACATTCCGCTGATTGTTTCTTTTTTTATTAATTGTTATAAGATCATATTAATAACACTATAAAAGTGAAAATAGTTTCCATTATTTTTTTGGTTTGAAAGGATAAATTAAAATAAATTTTATTAGTTTTAAACTTTTTGACGGTAATGTATGTAAGCGAATAGTAACTTGGCTCGCGATAGGCTATTCAATGCACATTCTAGTATTATTAGAGTTTAATGGTTTAAACTCTGCTCAATATAATATTTTGAGTTTCATAAATTTTTTTGTGAAAGTTTAACTTATTAATTGAACAGTGTGTAATGCCACCGACGAGGTACTATTACTTTGTCAATGGTAATGATAATTTTTGGTCAATTAATAATAAGTTTGAACAGCGTTTAATAGAAGATAATGCGTCAGTATTTGAAGTGTATTTTGTACTTAATAATATATATTGTATTCAAATTTTAAGATATTAATTATTATGGTATATTATAATATTTAATCATCATCCGATAATAAAGATATTAAAACATATATATCGACAGAAGATACAAAAAATTTAAACGAATATGATTTCTATTTTAACGATTTGTATAACATTGAATTTAAAATGGAGGTTTTGCCTAAGCAAAAATAGTGCCTGTGCAAGCATATAGATATAAATACATTCTTCTCTGAAAAAACTAGTTATAGTAATATTATTAAACTTATTATTTTTATATTATTAAATTATTTTTTGCATAAGTTTCAAAAAGAAAGAGAGAGAGAGATTCAAAAATTTGTTTAAAAAATTCAAATGTTACCTTAATTTTTACAAATTACACGATGTTTCTCCTTTAACTATGCATTGCAATCACATCATTCGATATAAATATAATTAGAGTTAGCATGGATAAGGTGTATGTTGATTTAAACGAATTGAAGGATAGCAAGACAAGTTGACTAAAGATTAAACTACGATCAAAGTTGAATGCAAAATACATTGGAATAATTCACGTTGGAAACGAGCATAAGGGTAAATTCATACCTTGGCAGAAAAGTAGAAAGTAGAAAAGCTGAAGCCAATCAGAATTCGCGATTATAGTAAATTTATTAGGTGGTAAACTTGGTGATAGTAAATTTACTATATAATAAGTTTTAATTAGCTTTGGCTATTTTCTGCCAAAATAGCAATTCGCCTTTACTATACTGTTTTATTTTTACCTTAAGATGTTGTGTTATGTTTATACTATGTTTATGTGTATATTATATGTATATGTCTTATACTAAGAAAAACGGCATATCAAGTTCTGCCTAATATATATATATATATATGGCTATCCTTACATTTTATTATAGGGTTTGCTCTTTATTGCTGTACTAGTGAACTAGTGTACATTGGTGCAGTAAGTTAAGAGGTTTGTTCTTTATTGTTGCACTAGTGAACTAGTGCAGCCTGGTGCAGTAAGTTAGGGCCCGAGCACAGACTTTTGCATAACGCATAACACAAGAAGCAGAAGAAATTCGATTGGTTGAATTTCTTATACACATGCGTTATGCACGTTCATAGACCAATCAAATTTCTTATGCTCATGCGTTATGCAAAAGTCTGTGCTCGGACCTTTAGAATGAAACAATATATTTATCTCACTCTAACTTATTGCACAGTTTATCAGTGCAGTAATAAGAACAACCCAAGAAGGTCTGTTCTTTTAGCTAAAGTGGCTGTACTAGTTCAGAATTTATCTTTTTTACTCTATTGAATTTACTATATTGAAAGGAAAGAGATAAACTCTAAACTAGTGCAGTCAGTTCAGTTAAAAAGAACAAACCTTTAGAGTGAAACAAAATATATTTGGGTTTGTTTTTTATTGCTGCACTGATGAACTAATGCAATAAGTTAAAGTAAGAAACAAATATATTTTGTTTTACTTTAATTTGCTGCAACAGTCTGCACTAGTTCACTAGTGCAACAATAAAGAACAAACCCTTTGTCTCATTTTAACTCATTGCACTAGTTCACCAATACAGCAATAAATAAGAACAAACCTATATAAGCAGATAGAAGTTTGTGGCTGTACTATATGCAGCTGTTCACCAGTGCTGCCAGTTCATGAAACGTGAAATCCCTTACTATCCAATAAGCCGACATAGGCTGCGATCGATAATGCACTATGAATGTTTTGAAACACCATTCCATCTTTGTTCCACATTCCATGAGAATAAGGATAGAATGATGTTTCGAAGCATTCGTAGCGCATTCTCGACCGCAACCGTAGAACATCATTATCTCAAATATAGGTTCTCTACCGCAGAAGACCGTGTTTCGGCCACCACCGAGCCCCGTTCACATGTCAACGAAAGGTGCCGAACAATTGTCTTGTTCACACGTGTTCGGCACTTCGCATCTTTCGTTGGCACTCGTGAAAACTCTGCCATCCGAACCTCAGCTCTGCCATACACGCCCTACATCTGTGATGGTGACGTTCTGTCAGTGGGAGGTGGCAAGCCCCACGTCCCATGTCCTACTAACTGACAGTACTGCCGCTTACCCGTCATAAAAGTTGCAAACACGCTGCCTCACGGTTCAGATTGTATTTCGGAGCAACGCGCGCCGGATATTACACCGGATAAACCGGAGTGTGACATTTCGCCTCTTTTATACCTCTATCAATATCTTTTTCACCGTACCCATCTTTTTCTACATTTGCTGTCTGCTCTCGTGTTTTTCACATATATACGTGGCAGATAAAACAACCTCGATAACATGTGCGGTAAGTATAGATTTTTTTTACGTGTCACACATGTCACATATGTGCGTAAACACCTGGCTTTTCTTATACCGGCTTGACGTCGCAGTTAACGAATGGCGAATTCAATTATCGCACTATATTTAACTATCATATGGTTACAAAATTATAATGTGTATATGTTGTGAATTTAAGCGGCATGACTGTAGAATGGATTGCTGTTTGATTGGTACGTTGATATATAATTGTTGTATTATTAATTGTAATAAACAGAAGTAATAACAAACAAAATTATGTAAAAATTTTTTTCTAAACGCAATATTCCTTTTCTGTATCATAAAAAATTTTGAATTTAAAATCAGAGGGCGCTAAATTTTTAGAAGACGATATATCATTAATAATATGTTATAGTTTGTATTGTGTTTGTATGCAATAATAATATATGTATATACATATATACACTGCATTAATCTGTATTAATATGAAATATAAATTCACATAATTACTATGTGAGCTCATAATTTTTTGTCTAATAATAAGATATTTTTAATTTTGTTACTATTTAACTTATCAAAAAGATACTCGCTTATATCTTAACAGAAAACATATTAAAAGAATCTATTGCTATAAATGTATTTATAATATTAATTTTATTTTAATGTGCTTTATATAATATAAAATTATATATTTTTTTATCCTCATAAATATTTAAATTTTAATATATAATAAATTTATATATATATATATATATATATGATGAGTCATTAAAAATCGCCACTTTCAATAAATTTTAAGATACTTGTTTAGTAAAAAAAATCTTTTAGATAAAAACTGCTTGATTTTGAAGAAAATATCCTAATGAACATCATTTTGTTTCACATACAAACACTTTCAGATATTTCAATTATCTTTTTTTAAGCAAAATTATTTTTTTTCTTACACTTAAAACGATTATTATTATTATTATTATTATTATATATTAATATTAAGATAATTATAAAGAAATAAAATTACGAGGTATTTTATATAATACATATAATTTTGATATAACAAAATATATCTTATATATAATATATTATTTATTTTTAAATAATGATTTTATATTATTGTAATATTTTTATATAATAATTTAATCGATAAATTAACTTATTTGAAATAAAAAAATATAAGAAAAATTTATATAGTTTATAAAATATTTTAATATAAATTAAATACATTATGATATAAACTATAAAACATATTTGCATTTACTTGAATACTTTTATTTGCTTTTCTATTCGAATATTTGTTAATTTCTCCAAAAGAAATAATAAAAATTGATGATTTTGCAATGCAAGTACACTGTTGCATTTACATGATGTAAAAGGCGCTTTTAAGGAGCGTACCCGAACCTTACAAACTCTTAAAAAATGTAACTTACAATCACTCTTAATTCTACTCCTACATCTAATTTACAATTAACTTAATTCTAAACTTAATCTACCTTATCTACCGAATTATATTAACTAATGGAGAGAGAGAAAAAGTTATCCCTATCTATTTTCCTATATATGTATATGTATATATATATATATATATATATATATATATATATATATATGAAAGTCATGAAAACGATGGAAAATCTCGTTACAAATTTTGAGGTTTTCAATCTTTCATCTTTAAAACTTAAAAACTCGGTAAATTTATGAACCTTTACTACAAAAACCTGTATTCTTCGCACGCCACAAATCCCGGACCCAATAACCCGAACCCAAAAATTTCTCACCCCAGATTCTCATGACCCATTACATCATGAGTTATTGCGTTATTGGGTCCGGGACTTGTGGCGTGCAAAGAATACAGGTTTTTGTGGTAAAGATTCATAAATTTACCGAGTTTTTAAGTTTTAAAGATAAAAGATTGAAAATCTCAAAATTTGTAGCGAGATTTTCCATTGTTTTCATGACTTTTGCTTGTTTCGGTCCATATTATGGCGCCGCCATCTTGCGGCGCTAAAAATAGACATTTTTGCCAGACAGCATCGAAAAATAGACATTTCAACGAAAATTTTGAGCCCTAGTAAAGTGATTTACGTCAAAAATTGAGATGCGCAGGGGGATGACTGATTTGACAGAGAATGCCCCATATATATATATATATATATATATATGTGTATGTGTGTCACATATTTTGATAACCATTATTTGTCATCGAAACACTAAGCGATATATTTTAATTTTAAATGACAAGAATGTTAATAAAAAGTTGTTAAGCTTTAGTGTATAAAATTACACGTTTCAGAAAGTGCATATATTAAGTTTGCCATAATTAATTTTAGGAATACTAAAGAATATTTTATAATATAAATATTAATAGAAAAGAAAGAAAATTATTTTATATCTTTTTTTTCTACCTATAAAATTCTTTTAAGGCTCTTGCTTTCTTGATTTAATATGACATTACAAGCAAGATTAATTACATTAAATACAAGTAGTCGTATAATTTTTTTTATAAAATATCATAAAAATAAACTTTTTGTACTCATGATAATAGAGATTAGTAAAGTAAGAAAGTTCTTTTTTTTGTTATCTTACATTAATAAATATATATATATAATTTATTTGTATGCATTTTCCATTTTCAATGAAACTTTAAGACGAGTAATCACACACACACACACACACACACACACACACACACACACACACACACACACACACACACACACACACACACACACACACACACACGCACACGCACACGCACACGCACACGCACACGCACACGCACACGCACACACACACACACACCCACACCCACACACACACACACACACACACACACACACACACACACATGTGCAGTTATTTATTAATTAATAAATTGAAAAGAGACATATTTTACTAATCTATATCTCGGTGCTTGCATTAAAAAAATACTTATTTATTTTGATAAATTTTGCAAGAAAATATTATATAATTTCATAATTCAATATAGTTGCAGTGAATGCACAGGAATCTTAATTATTGATACTGCAGGAATAATGCAGAAATGTATTATTGTACCCTTATAGAAATTTATCATTAGTAACGCTAATTTATTTCTTATTTTGAATACTTAATCACTTATTTTGAGTATTTAAATTACTGTATATCAGTATTTTAAGTACTCAAAATAAGTGATTAATTGGTGTTACTAGTGATAAATTTCTACAAGGGTATAATATAGCATTTTGTGTCAAATAATTTTATTGATAATTCTATTTTGTCTTTCATAATAAAATAATGAAATTTTTGATATGCAATAGTAATGATAATAATAGATATGTAATAATTAAATTATATATAATTATTATACAATAAAAATAACTCATAGAAAAATGGGGAATTGGTCACTGTTTTATTTTCTTTTACTTTCACCGATTCATAATAATAAAAGCAAATAATCAACATTATCATTAATATTTTAGATTTAAATTTGTTATTATATTCATATAATAATAGTTGACGAAGAAATTAATCAAATAATGAATTAAATTAAACAAAAATAATTTAAATAACAAATAATGAATAACAGATAATAACGAGGATATTATTAATATATTTACGTGATTATATGTGATCGGAGCCATTATTTTTTTTTTATACGAAGTACAACTTTCTCGGATATTGATTTATATGCAGATCATATTTCAACGGGGGGGGGGGGATATTCATTAGTAATAAGTAACGTTAAATCTTCATTTGCTTGCGTATGTATAATTATCATACTAAATTAAATTAAAAAAAAAATTACATTATTTTTTCTTGATAAAAGTAATTATTTTATTATTATCACTTTTATAAACTAAAGAAAATATTGCGAAAAAATTATTTCCAAGAATTAGAATAAGTATTAATAGTTGAAGATTTCACTGTAGTCTAAATATTTTGAAATGTTATAATAACATTCTGTGAATATATTAATTTGTTTTTCTTACATTCTTAAGAAACTTTTTTTGCAATATTTATTATAAGAACACGATTTCTCAGTCACAATCGTATATACATATACCTATTTATTTTCTTATATAAACTTGCAATAAATATGTGTAGTTCTCATTGCATGTATTTGCAATAATGTGTCTCGTCTTTTTTAAATAATTTTTTAAAATAAATTTTTTAATGCTTTGAGCTATATTTTGTCAATTAAATCAAGATTGAATCAAGCTTGAAAATTGTGTAGATTTTTAGGGAACGAAACATTCACTCCAATTATCTATTTATTATGTATTCTCTTTATATCAAACAAAAATAATCTAAATGTACGTCACGCAGCTATTAGTATACTACAGTATCCAATATCTTATTTGTGAGAAGTAGTTTGGTACTGGTTTGATACGAGGAAATGTCGACGACTGGTCGAGTGAAAGTTTGCTCTTTTCGTGCTGCGCGAACCTGAGACGGTATAACAACACAGGATACTTAGCATATGACATTTAGCAGAAATATTCACCTTTGGACGCAGTTCCTTTCTTTTCGATCGTTCCTTTCGTTCTCGCCTCCTGGGATTCAATTATGTCAATATAAATTCAGCTTTTAAATATTCGAATTTTTCGAGGTGTATTCAAATATTCGTACTATTATACATCGACCAATTATTTATATAAAATAATATGAAAGATTCTGAACTGTATTTGTCATGTAATATTAATTTAAGACTTTGACTTTGAAACCACCAGCAATAAGATATGAGTGATATGCCATAAAAAAGATAATAATTATAAGGATTTCAAATTTCGGACAAAATTCTGTTTAGGTTTATTTATTTAGACATATTAACTTTAGCCTCATGGATTTGATATTGTTTTTCATTATATTCATTTTTCAATCCAATTTAAAATTTTGATTTATAATTTACATATGAATTAATAAGCACAGAAATAAGTGCACAAGCGATTCATTAAATACATTTACATTATCAAATATACTGTTCAAGTATTTTATGCTAGTATTATTTTCTTTTTGTTTTATTGAAGTTAAATTTATTGATTTTAAAATTAT